ATGGCTAAAAAGTCAATAAGTTCACCTCGTAAGCTGAACGCCCTGGGTTGAACCACTCAGTGGGATGATGAGTGCGAATACTGCTGCTCAATACTCTCTGATTTACAGTGTTTCTCTAACGGATGTCAAGCTCATGATCAAACGTGTAAAATGTAATTCAGCCAAATCACACCAATCAGTTGTATAGTACACTTTCTTCTTTTTTCCTTATCCACGACATTCTAACATAAATTATTAATACAACAGTTGAAAAAAAATACACAGATTGGAATTAAACTGTTGACAATAATCTAGTTTATAAATTAATTATATAATACTTAATCGATATTTTTTTGATTTCACTCCTTTACGTTCCCAGTGGAAAATACAACTTCCAAGTAGAGCTTTGAAGTTTCGGTAGCAGTGGTGTTTATTACTTTTACGCGATGGGGGGGGGGGGTTCTAGCCTCATGCCCAAACCTCCCTGTTTACCAGTCTCATTACTGGCTTAGCAAGGTAATGGAATGCATAGGCCGGGTATCGAGCATTCTAACGCTGTACCGCCGACGTACACTTCTGTCTGTTTTCAACACAGAACTTTGCACCAATGTGCAGCAGTTCAAGTCACCACACTCCCTCCTTGCATCACACAAAGCAAGAGAAGAGAGTTGAAGTAATGCAAAAGAGACAGTAGACAGGGATATGAGACAAAAGGAATAGTAATAACGAAGAACAATATAGTTTCATTGGAAATTATATGTCACAAGGAGTGGGTGCATCTGCGCCATTGAGGACGATTTTGAGTCATATCACCGATTGTCTCCAGCCGTCATTGGTTTTTACCGCCCCGAGAACCCCAACCAGGAAGTCTACACTTTCCTACACGGCTTAAACTAACTGTTGTGGATTTCATTGACTGATGAAGCCATGTTTGGGTTTGACCACCACCACCACTGGCTGTTTTCCAACCTGATGCATCCTATGTCAGCTAACATTGCCCATTGTCGAGGGAAGGGGATCGACGCCTAGTCATGCACGCGCAACACATGTCCTAAACATCTCTGTCGATGTAAGCTCACAACCTCGTCGTTGGTTGATTTCCTCTCCCACCCACTTAGCACTCGACCGATGCCTAACCTCAATATTGCTCACCCCATTATACTGCTTCACACACGAGACAGAACGCAGACACCTATGATCGAAGACAGCTAGACAGGGTTTTCATGTCCTCCACTCCCAAAGGCCAGGTCTCAGAGCCATAAAGGAGAATGGAGCGGACTGCTGAGCAGTACACACATCCTTTGATCGACAGCCAGCCGGATATCACGTCTACGCCGGAGACGGCGTAAACTTAATAGATAGAACAAACTTAATTTTCTGAGGATAATGTTTGACATTTTGCAGACGAAAAATAACCTTAGGCGTTGTATAAAACCGACTGACTTCAACATAAGTTGCAGAACCTTTAACAGAGACTAGTAGGTGCTGGACAAATACTAGTGACATTTGGCTAGTATCGTTGCGTCCTGCAGCAGTGCATATTTAACAGTCAGTTAGAATGTATGGATCGTTGTATTTCACCAATCAAGTAATGACCGAATATTAACATTCTAGATTCAATGGAATTTCAGATTTTCCGGCCAATGGATAGGACCGAAGTGCTCGGCCTCAGGTTGACATGTCTGCCGGCTTCTTGTGCAGGTGCTTCGACGATATCTGGGAATGTAATTAGAATTTAATTGGGGAATAGTGACTAGCAGTGGAATCCAGGTTAACGCGCATTTCGTCCTATCTGGGACTCGTCAGTTGGATGTACCTGAGACCGAGCACTTCGGTCAAATCCATTGATGGGAAAATCTAAAATTCAACTGAATCAATATGACCTGTTGCACAAGAGACGTGGCTCTCGTGGCCTAAGTGGTCTAGTGGATAACGCTTCAGCTGGCGTTTGAAACTATGGGCACTGGGTTCGAGCCTCGGTGGGAACATCATCACTCTCACTGGGGAATGTAGGTACATCCAGTTGGCGAGTCCCAAATAGGACTAAGCGCGCATCCTGGTGGATTCCACTGCTAGTCACCATCCACCAATTAAATATTAACACTCTAGCTTGATAATATAAATATCCTAAGTCCTAAAATCAATAAGATGGTAGGTGGCGGATATTGTTACGAGATTCCCAGACGAGGATGAAACATCTGTCCCCAACAGATTTCAGTTAACGACGAGTTTTACTGAATAATTGTTTGGAAAATCTCACCTTAGCAATATAATTACAATGATTACATCCTCAGCCGACACACTCCTAAACTTCGTCAAGCCCGTAAAAAAGAGAAGGGTATGAGGCATGAGGCTAGCAACTCCATCCCACTGCTACCAAAAATGCAAAGCTCCAGCATGAAGTTTTATCTTCCACTAGGAACATAAAGGAATAAAATTTTTCTTAAATTAAAATTATACTCATCTGAATGGTCTTAACCCCAACTCTTCACTGATTTACCCCTTTTCCCTTAGATATGTGTGATACTTCTCATTGTGGTTGTGTGTACACCACTCACAATGTGTTGTTTAACAAAATGAGTTCGTTTGAGCGAATGAAGGTGATTCTGGTCCAGGACTGTCTACGAGAAGCCTTGATGTGTGATTCGGATGGGCAGACATTTTGATTCCACATCGTTGGGAATATTCTCCAAGATTCTAAAATGCCTTTTACTAATTTTGTCTTACAGTACTCATCTTGTATTTAGAAATGTGAGTTTCAATTTTATTATTGCTTGAAAGAACTGCCAAAATATTGAATAACCATCTTTTCCCTGATTTTGGAACGTTTCGTCACAGCGTGTGTCTCAACAAAATTTTCTCGGTCATACAGTAGGATGCAGAGATCGATGTTTTGCGTTCACACCATAACCGAATAAATTTGGTCGTTATCCTATCTTTGGGGGGGAACTGTTGATGTGTGATTCATGATGACAAAGCTTTTGATTCCACTATACTGTTGGAAATATTCCACTTGATTATCAGGTAACTGTGGTAAGAGTTGGCTGCTAGCCAAATGGGTAGATGGTAATTTACGTCAATGTTTACGTCCTAAATATTGGTCGTGAGAAAAATATGAACAAAGACTGATTCAACAATCAACCACAGCAGACTTTGCGTAGGCGGATACAGTTAGCATATAGATGATCTGCAGTTCAAGAAACAGCCACAAAGAGATGAAAGATTAACTTTCAGTGAGATACAACAATAGTCTATGATAATGTACATGAAAAGCTATAAATACGTGTTGATTTCCCAAATAAACGATCTGTCACCTGGCCCTTGTTTTCTGTTGTTACAGAACCACAGATTCCAACAACAAATAACCATCTTTCGAGCTTTTTGTGACTGAGTTTCTCAAGGAAGTTTTGCACAGCTATACAATAGGACTCAGAGATCGGTTCACTGGCCCTTGTTTAGACCACAATAGGTTGGTTTCGGTCGTTACACACCCTATAAGTCAGCTTAACATAGCACGTTGAGAAGGGCAGTGGTTTGGCATGTGCAACACACATCTTCCAGTCATGTCAACCGATGTAGTAGTCCTAAACCTCAATATTACTCACTATTGTATACCTACCATTGAGAACAGAAGAGAGAACACGGACATTTGCGGTCAATATCAACCAATAGGATAGTGTACGTGTAATCCTCCAAAGCCTCAGAATGGTCGGGGGTGGGTGCCTTGCGCTGCGGGTTGGCGACCCCTCCGCACACCTCTTGAAATGCTCCCATATGACCGGGCGTCCCACATAGCCTCTCTTGAGGAAGTCCTACCCACTGCCTTCACGTGGCGGTGTTTTTCACCAAAGTGAGAGGGCGAAAGCGGATGCCCGGTGCTCTTCACCGGGTTGACTGTCCATTGGATGACAGTCTAGGGGAGATGGCTAAACCCTGATTCCAAACCTCCAACGACTGGCGTATGAAGCTCACTGGAGCTCACCGGCAGACGTTTGGACAAAGGGCTTGTTGGATGTCCTGGATGTCTGGCCCCATTCAAAAAGGCGTGTGAACCGAACTCCGGTCACCGGCTGCCAATGGGTAGTGGACTCCCTATTCCACTCCTACTGCCTTGTAGGTCACACTTGGTTGTGTAAAGGCTAGAGCTGCACTCTCGAACAAAAGGCCGAGCGATTCTGGGGACATCACTCGTACCAAATTCCCATGAAACTTCATGAACTCTCTTCATCAGATCGCCGCGCCTGGGCAGCGATGATTCGAGATGTTCATGAAGCCGGCTCATCCTCCCGTAGGAGATAGCCGAAGTAAAGTAAAGTAAGTAAGTGTACGTATAGAGATCCCCCGCTTACCTACAAACTTCCCCCCACCCAAACAACACGTGTAGATATATAAACACACCGTTAAACAAACAGATGAATATTATATATATTTATATATGTATAAATATAAAGGAACTAGTGTACATAAACAAACACACACACACACGCACACGTACACTTGAATAGGCACTAGAAAACAAAAGAATAACGGGAAAACAGAAGAGAAAATCGATCCGCGTCATCATCATCATCACCACCATCATCAAATCACAATGAAATGCAGCTACACAAAACAAAATGGAAGTGTTCATCATTACCACATACAAACACACACATGGAACTCCTCCCCCTATTGTCCTTTCACACAACAACAACAACAATAACGTTAATAATATTGATTGGATAGTAGTAACAGATGCGGAAGAAGGGAAGAGAAATTATGGGAGCCGGAATTTTTTCAGAGGTGGTAGTGGGGGGAAGAGATTGACCGCCATTGTAACAGTAGTATGTATTAACACAAAACATTACAGACACCTTCTTTATTTATACTCAAAAATGCCTTTAACAAAACAAACACCAAACAGAATGACACATACACACTGAATGGGGGGATACCGTAATAACAACTATATAACTAAACACCTGCGATTAGTATTGTTTCAAGAAGACGACACATCCCTACTCTTCTACAAAACCCGCCGAATATATATGGATATGATATATATATATATATATATATATATATATATATATATAATATAGGAAACTGTACAAAAAAGAAAGTAAGAGAATTACACAAACACTACAGGGGAGAGGGTGGGGAAGTTGGCACGGACACATACCACCACCACCACCTCTGTCTGTGTGTAAGAGAGAGAAAGAGCTGAGCAGACAAAAAGGTTAGCAGTTTAGAAGTAGTGCTGAATACTAACTTGTATAACTGCTAATGCTAATGATGGCTACTAATGTTATCATCATCACCACTTACTGGAACGAGATATATATATATATATATATATATATATATATATTACTAACGAGATGGCTTCATATTGAAAGCTGTAACACACATATACATCCATCCATATACACATGTTATATAAATATGCAATATGCTTCTGCAGAGACAGACAGACTGAGAGAGAGAGATAGAAAGAGAGACAGTGGGGCCACTTCACTGAGCTAACATTAGGACTACTACTCATCGCTTAAATCTCTTTTTCTTCTCGGGAAGGCTAACAACCAACTACTCACAGAAGAAGAACACATTTCTCAATAAAAAAACAATAATAATAATAATAACAATATTAGCCATAACGATATTAACAATGGTAATAACAATAAGGATAGAAAGAAGAAAAGAAATATTACTAATAGCGTTGACAGTAAGTAGTGGTAAGATAGATCAATTTGGGGGTCGGTCGCGTGCTTGACAATCGATCAGTCAGTTAGTCAATCATTGACTGAGGTGAGCTGCACAAAGAAGTAGTAGTAGTGGTCTTGTGAAATTCCAGGGGAAATACAACAAGGAGAATATATAAACACACAGACGGAAACACGTGTACAGACGCAGACACACACACACACACGCCCACAATCTTTGGCATTCATCAACAAACACAGTGGGCGTGTGTATGTGTCTGGTGAATACAAAAGGAGGTGAAATAGTAACAAGTGAGGGAAGTGAAGTTAGTACTCAACAACCAGAAAGTGTAAACGCACGCATACGCACAAACACATGCGCGCGCGCAGTTACATCGAAGTGTGGAAGCAGAGAAGAAGAAGAAGAAGAAGAGAAGACAAGAGAATACACAGCTAGCTCGCTAGCTAGCTAGGTAGATAGATAGATAGCTTAACTGGCTATGCTATACGCGCTTTCAACACAATATAAGTAAGTATATGTAAGTATGTATGTAATATAAACTGTACAATAAACTCAGAATAAACTATGTATAAATATAAATATAAACAGCATTAGCAAGTACACACCTGAAGCAGTTGACAAATTAAAAATTATCACTATTAATAATAATAATAATAGTAATTAGCATTTTTTTTATCTACAGAGAATGAGAAAAGGAGGTGTGTAAGTGGCGGTGTGCAATAAACCTGAAAAATTTTTTGTGAAATTAGAAACGACATGGAAAGGCAGTGAGAAAGAAATTAACAGCAACAACAAGATAGAACAACAACACAAACAATATATATATATGCATAGATGGATAGATGGATAGATAGATTTGTGTATAGAAAGAATTACCGTTTTTGTTCGTTTGTTTCTTTGTTTGTTTCGATTACTAATTACAAAAAACATCCGAATCCAAGTCGACAGTACTGTCAACATATTGGCGGCGATGGTGACGGTGACTGGTGAATTCAACTGACTGAATCCTTGAGGAGGAAGAAGAAGTAGAGGAGGAGGCGGCAGAAGGAGAATGAGGTTGTAAAGACGTTGAAGGAATGTTTTGATGCATGGATTCTTTCATGATAAATGAATTGACAATAGGTGGACTAGGCGTATTCTGCTTATTCTTATTCTTCTTCTTCTTTAATGTACATATTGATAGACATTGAGCGATAATATGCCCTGCATTGTTTGTTCTTAAACCTGTCTCACTAGGTGTACAACCAAATGCTATTTCGGATAAAAGTTGTGACTCTTTCAGTAACCATCTGTAAAACACACAAAACAAACATTGCCAAAAATTATAATAGACACATACATAATCCGGTGATATCGGTGAATTAGATCACGAGTGGTTGAAATTTGTACGTGTTATCAGAAAATGTGACATACACCTACCTACCTATCTTTCTTGAAATGCATAAATAACCACAAAATCAACCCCCCCCCACACACACACACATACATAAACATTATCACCATAGAACATGGCGTTAATCAGCGTAACGAGTCAGAAGTGTGACAAAAGAAAACACCAGGTCTGTGTCTGTGAACTTTTCTTAGAGCAAACACGAGACAAGGCGAACAGAAACTACAATCCTTGTAGAAATAATCCTTTACCTCATCGACGAAGCTAGATGTTAATAATGTGACATGATAATGACTGGAAAGAAAAAGCAACAAGGAAATCAGTCAGCCAGCGAAACAGTCAACACCTGTTACCCAACGAAATGCACTGGACATAATCTGAGTGAGTGGACCACTGAATGACATGACCACCACACGCCAGATCGTCGAGTGCAACCCGAATAGAAAGAGACAAGCTGGATATCTGACATAGGACATGGAGGAAATCATGTGATGAGTAAATGAAGAATTGTGGACACTGGTGGTGCAGACAGCTGAAAGCGATGGGAGAATACTGAAAAAAGTACATCACCATCAGTGGGAGAAATTTGAAGTAAGACATATCCTTTCGCTTATCTAGGCAGAATCCCCTGAACTACTGGCAGCCAGAACGGATGAGGATGTCAAAACCAGAATCAGAAAGGCAAAGCGGACATTCATCATTCTGAAATCAGAATGGAAACCTACTGCATTTAGCATATGCAACAAATACTAGAGTTCAGGTAAAAGGACAGTTGCTTGCCAGTGGTTGGTGGTTACACTAAACTCGAGAAATTATGGAATTTTGAATTTGCCTGTCATTGGAGAGGGTATCAGAGAGAGGATCGGGAAAGCAAGGCAAGCTTTCATTACCCTCAAGTCTGTGTGGAGATCAACAGCACTCAGCAAGAAAATGAAAATAAGATCCGGATTTTCAAATCCAATATGAAGTCAGTGATACTTACTATATGGATCAGAGACTTGCCGCCGCGTCACGATGGCCACTTCGAACAAACTACATACTTTCATCAATAGCTGTCTTCGATCAATACTACTCAAGATCAAATGGCCGGCCAGAAAAGATCGGCAACAGGGAGGGAGGGATCTCTTGGAGCGAATCAACCCAGCAGGAACCGATTGTGCAACAAATAAGCAGGAAGAAACTGAGGTTGATTGGTCATACTCTGAGCAAAGAAACCATTAAGTGACACCACACCCTAGGCTATCGCTCAAGTGGAACCCAAATGGGAAGCGGAGAGTTGGTCGTCAGTGCAAGGATGACATGGAGGAGGTGATGCGAAGAGGAGAAGAGAGCATGTGGGCAGACGTGGAGCCAGGTGAAAACGTTGGTGAAGAACCGAAGGCAATGGAGACGTACGTCTGAAGCCCTATGGTCCTCTAGGAATTAAAGAAAACAGTGACAATAATGGAGGGTCCAAATGGCTGAATGGTCTTCTACTTCACCTTGTAACCGGAAGGTCCTAGGTTCGAACCCCCGTGAGTGAGCACTGATAGAGTCCCAAAATTGGACGAAACACCTGTCCAGTAATGCCCTGTGGTTTTCACTAGTTCTCTAACGAATGTCGAACATGAAACCACTTAAATCTCTACAAACTAAGTCTTGAAAATCAATGATTTCACGGATTACTGCGTAAATCCAGAAGCCTTTTTTGGATGCAATGCAGGTAAACCGATTTATCCTCCTGCAGAAATCTACTTGTGACATATACTCAAACAGAGGAAGAAAATAGTAGACACAAAAGGAAGCTGGGCATCATTCTAAAGACTAAATAGTGAGGCAATCTGTGTCTTTTCTCAAGAACCTTACGTCAACCAGCCAGGTTAGCATATAGCTCTCTCCACTAAATTACAGGAGGGAAGATGTTTCACAAACAATAACTAACTACTCGATAGTAGTATCAGTTAACATGCATAAATTTTTAGTGGGAGGTCAAACAGAAGGGATTGATAAAATACTTAGGTACAGATTGCTAATTTGCTGCTTTATAAGTAGATAAAGATAGACCTATCAATATATGAAAACCTTTTGACTTCATGACTGATAAATCGAAATGACATAACTTAAAACACTTGTTTGATTTTCTACATGCTGGGTAGTCTCGTGAAATTTTATTGCTATGCCCTTGAGTTCCGAGTGGAATGACGTAAGGCTTCAGCAGCCCATTTCCATTTCACTTTGTTTGCTTGCAGTCTTTTTAGCTGGCTGTACAACTACCCATGAGGTTTCATTTCCTATTAGCCACACCATCCCCTCCATGTTGTCACCCTCGAAACAAAGCCCAACCACTCGTCGTTTCCCGTTCGGGTTCCATTCGAAGGCTAGTCTGGTGTGTATGTGATGTCACTCAACAGTGGTCTCCTCAGAGTATATGTAATTCATCTCGATTTCCTTTAGCAAAAAAACTGAATATTGATGTTTGTATATTTTTTCCAACTCAAGCTTTGTAGGGAATTTTGTTTGATGGGATGGAGAATTTCATCATGAGCTGACATCGGTTAGAGAACCATTAGAAAACCTGGGAGTACTAGACAGCTGTTTCATCAGCCTAGTTTGAGACTCTTCACCAGTACGCACGCATCACAACGGGGTTCAAATCCACGACCTACTGGTTACAAGGCTAGCTCGTTGACCACTAAGTATGTTGTAATAAGTTATATACATCCCCAGATAATTGGAGACTATTGCATACAATATACCCCAAACCCTGTAAGTACAGCAAATAAACAAAATCACGGTGATAATCATTTCGATTGTTAGATTTTTATCTCCAACTAAAATCAGTTAGAGAGACCATTGAAAACCAGGGAGTACTGAGAAGCTGTCCCCACCTATTTTGGAACTCTTCAACAGTGTGTACTCACGACCATCCCACCCCCACCGGCCTAGGGATCGAACCCCGAACCTTCAGGTTACGAAACCATGCTGACTGAAATTCAGCCACTCAGATTGGAACCCAATGACCCATGAATTCTAAGTATGTCAACTTGTGATACAGCGCTCGTAACCTAAAGGTCCAGTATTCGATCCCTGACGGTGCCTTGGTTGCACATTGCTGAAGAGTCCAAAAATAGGATGAAACAGATATCCAGCACTCCTTGGTCTCTGATTGCAATCCCGGAATGGGAAAAGAGTTCCTTCAAGAATGTAGATACACGCTGGCTAACGAATGCCATCAAGTGAGGAACGTAGGGTTTCTCCTAATGATTCCCTCCAACCATCTACCACATCCACATTTCAACTAACGATAACATTCAATCTTAGAAGGGACATGAGTTCCTTCAAGGTTGCAAATACGCCTTGTTGACTAGTGAGTGCCAACTAGCACGAAATCTAGGTCAGGCAATGCTTGCTGTGACCGATTGCCTCCAACTATCTAATATCATCAAATCAATGTGCACCATGATGTCGAGCTACCTAGTGGCATGGTGGCCACATTGTAAACCTGACTGACTGACTGATAGAATTCAGTCTGTACCAAAAAATAAAGGACTAGACACACACATCACACTAGTTACTCACTAGTGTCTAATCGAAATAAAGGTATCTTTTAAACAAAACAAAAAATACACACTTACTGTCTAGCTTCTTCAATATGTAATACTAAATTTCTTAAAATTAGAGCAGAAGTTACACGAAGATGTTTTGTTACTGGTCCTTCACGTGGTGGATTATTATGTATAAATGGATGATTTATTGGCATATTGGATTGACAATGTGGATTTGTAAGAAAGAAATGATGTTGAGCAGCCCATAAATCATTTTGTGTACTTTTGGCTTCAATAGAACGTATAATTGCCCAGGCTGAACGATCACCAACATATGGATATTCCGAGTGTATTAGATCTACTCCTGCTGTTGATGATGATGACGGATTGACATCATAACAGTGTTCTCTTTGTGTATCAGTTATCTTTTTATGCTCACTATTGGTTGATCGTCTTGCTTCTAATTCTTTAGGGCTACAGTGCATATCAAGTACATGAGTCATTAAAGCGTATGGTGCACGAGCAAGTGATGCAGACTGACAACCACGCCAACGACAACACCGACGAACCAGTTGAACAGGATATTTATGATTAGCATGATGTGAACTATCCGATTTCCAAGTCTCCTTGTTAGGCAAATGTGTTAAGTAGACATGTTGGGCAACCTTAAAGTAAAGCAGACAGTAAGAAAAAAAAACCATCACAGTTAAATGACCGTAATATTTAAAGCGATAACGAATTAGCCAACATACAAAGTAATCGAGGATAAGTAAAGTAGTCAGGGAACAACACAATGACATAGGTAAATATCTATCTAACAAGAACAGTCAACACAGTGTTCGACCCTCGGTATTACTTTCATAAACAGAAGAATGAAGGAAACACCACCACATTGACCCCATTCAGAGTGGTTCGAAGCACGAAAAGACGTTAATCCTAAAACAGCTATCCCTCATCCCTTCTGACACTACAACATGGATGGATCGCTTTGTGAGATTAGTCCCAAAGTTGACAAAACCGCCTGGATGATGATATTTGCAGTAACACAAATGTACAAATTGAATTATCCCCGACTGACTTCAGCAACTCAGGCATTGACTTATTACCATCAGAGGATGACATAGTCCTCCTCCTCCTAGATAAAGACGCTGGCAAAATACAGAGTCTTTTGAACACACCTTGAGCAGAAACCTTTGAATGTTTGGCATGCGATTTGCTTCTGTCAAATATGAGATGATACTACAGGAGTGGACTGCACCGATTCCCAGCTTAAAGATGGGGGGTGAAGCGGAAGAGCGAGCTGACGAAATCTCAGCACGGATACAAAAGGCTCGGGATATCTAGCTGTTGATCCAACGACGTGCGCACTCAGCGGCAGTTTGAGACATAACCAATCGAAGTGGAAGACATGATAAGGCTAGCTGTCTTTGATCATAGGTGTCTGCATTCTATCTCCGGTGTTAGGTGGTAAAACGTGGTGAGCAATATAGACGTTAGGCGTCAAGGATAAGAAGCTACATCGATTGAGATGCTTTAGGACATGTGTTATGCATGACCAGCAACCGCCTTCCTCGACGAGCAACGTCAGCTGAGATAACGTTGAGCTGGAATAGAGTTAGGGAGGTGGTCAAAGCAAAACCTTTCATCAGTGTTCATTAAGTCTGTGACCAGTTAGTTTGAGCCAGCCATATAGATACGTGTAAGCTGTCTAGTTGGAGTCTCTGGGATTCCAAGTACCAATTGGCTAGAGACAATTGGTGATATGGCTGGAAATCGTTGTCAATGGAGCAGATGCAGGCAATCACTCTCCCTCATTTTTCCGAGAATTATCGTTCTTTCGAATCTTTTGTTTTCCTTTCTTTGAGTGCTACATGGATGGAGTGTGGTAACTCGAACTGCTGCACTTCTGTGCAAAGTGTTCTACAATGTTGAGAGACCAGTTAGTCAGTAGTAATACACACAAACACAAGCCATTGAAGCTGAGTTGATTTATGCTACACTTGTTATACAACAGGAAACCTCTGTCAACACTCATACAACCTGAATACATTTATTCTTCAAAACTATCAAAATGGGTGGATGAATGCAGGCACAAGCGCCTAATTTCGCAGTAGAATATTGCACCCAGTGTATAACATACAGAAAATGACTATTAACTGATTGACTGAGATTTGGATAGGATGTATCTCATGGCACAATGGGATGATATCCTCTGGCCATTCATTCACCATCATATACAGCCATTAAAACTAAGAACAAAAAGTGCGAAAAGCTACCAGAAAATGTTGAATGCCTTCCTGAACTAACAAACAAACAAACAAACAAAAATACAAGGTCTCAAGTTGGGTGGAGTTAATCGATTTGTATCAGCCTGATGACCAAATATAGGGGGGACCTATAAGATCGACTACAACAGGATATTTAATTCAATTTCTAGATTTTCCCGTCGATTGATTAGACCGAAGTGCTCTGTCTCAGGTTGACATGTCTGCCGGCTTCTTGTGCAGATGCTTCGACGATATCTGGGCGTGTAATTAGAAGTTATTTTGTGGATGGTGACTAACAGTGGAATCCAGGATAACGCGCATTTCGTCCTATGTGGGACTCGTCATAGCTGGATGTACCTGCATTCCCCAGTGAGTGGGTGATGTTCCCACCGAGCCTCGAACCCAGACATCGTCAAAGCATCTGCACAAGAAGCCGACATGTCAACCTGAGACCGAGCACTTCGGTCCAATCAATCTACGGGGAAATCTAAAATTCAATTGAATAATTAATATGAACTGTTGCACAAGAGACGTGGCTCTCGTGGGCCAAGTGGTCTAGCGGATAACGCTTTGGCCGGTGTTTGAAACTGTGGGCACTGGGTTCGAGCCTCGGTAGGGACATCATCACTCTCACTGGGGAATGCGGGTACATCCAGCTATGACGAGTCCCACATAGGACGAGACGCGCATCCTGGATTCCACTGCTAATCACCATCTACCAATTAACTTCTACATACAACAGGATATGTTTAATGGATAACTTCATTCAAAATAAACACTTTAAACTGAAAAGCCGAACAGTAAACGAAGACAAAACCAATACCATCTGCAATATAAATTACAGCAGATATTGGAAACGCTTCAGTGGCCAAAGGAAATATCCTTTTCGCTTTTGCATCCAAGAACATAAACTAGCAGTCAAAAGACATGACATCAATGCATTTGGATGTCTTACAAACACCTGTCCGACCGAGAAAATGTAGAAATCCCAAACAAAGACAGTACTGTGGATGGCACAAAATTCCAAGAAATCTGCACTTGATGATAAACACATCTGATGGATGTACGCAGAACTTATCAGCCAATCAGGACCAAGGCATACGATAGCATAAAAAGGTCAGTTATTAGGTCAATGAAATGATAACTACCGATAAACGTGAATACCACATGATAACCAGATAATCTGTATGTGGAGACGGCCAATCACACTCAAGGTTACTATGGAGGATAGTTATTTTATTTGTGAAGAATTCCAAAAAGTTCCATTTCACACTGAAGACATTGTTTGGAACGATAACAAAAACTCGACAGTTGAACCATTCAGCATGGAGGATTGCAATAACACCAAGACATACATACAAGCGAGCTACAAGTTCCAGAAGTCAACAATAAGAAAATCCGGCAAAGAAAACAAAGGAGGAATTCAGCAAATATGCTTAGTTCTACTAGTAGTCGATGACAGGTGATTGAGAACCTTTACTTCAAATGGGATTCAAAGTGTAGACCAACATCTCCACCACATCCCTTTCTTATAGGTGGAGTTCCTAAAAGCAGTCCTATCCAATAAGACGAAAGCAGCTATACAATATCAAGAAATACAGCGAATGTTGTTCTATAAAACGTGATAATGCACCGCAATCGATGACGACATTAATTAAGTGAAGATTAGTTAAAGGATGCCGAATATCGAAAACGAAAACAGTATTTACACATTCAGTGTAATGTGAACGATACTCATTCATATTACAAAGTTTCTAATTATCTTAACTCTTGGCATTCCCGTGAACTACAATATCACCTACACACCAATATCTGAGCGATTGAGGCAAGTAGCCGACCCACTACTTGTCAAAGATGCGTGACAGGTTCACCTGCCATCTCAGTCAATAAAGATTTATTATGCATCGTTGACCGTGTCTTCTTTCCTATGTAACACTCTACATCCAATCAGAATAATTTTCTAACTAACCCATCTCTTACTTACAGCGACTGCCTCATAAGTGTAAAGTATTGCAGAATGATAGGTTAAACAGAACATGCACACAACCTTTCATGGATAGTCGAATATTTCACCAGTGCCTAATGGAATACATAGAAACATGTAGTCAAGCCACTGTATTCATGCTCAGATCTTGTCAGTGACTAGGTAATCGCAGTTTTTAAAATCAATGTAGAAGTTAACAAATAAAGATAACTCGTTTTCTGTACTTATAACAACGATTGAAACAGGCCACTGCTGTAACACCAAACTATAATCGACAAAAGCGAAACGGTTGCTCAAGATGTTTGGTGACTTTATCTACTCTCTGTGTGCTCCTAAACAAATGGGACCTGGGTAGCATGACACAAATAGTCTAGATCAAGGGTTGAACTTTCCGACAGACAACCACTACCTTGTCATAATGGGCGAAAGCGATCGTAACTTGAGATCATACCACTGCAAAAAAAAAGTATGTTGGGTAGTCAGTCGTGAGGCTGAAAGCAGTAATTATGTAAACGCAATATACTACTGTTATGGTATGAGTAGTACTAGTGACTAAAAGAGTTTAACAACAGTTAAGCATTTAGTTGGAAAGATCAACATTTCAGTTGTGCTTGACATTGTACTCTAAGGCGAGATAAGGGTTAGAAAAGATAAAAACGGCATAATTAAATGTTGGTTTGTAGGGATTTGGTTGATTAGTTACAGGATCTCATCATGAGCTAACATTGGTTAGAGAACCATTGGAAAACCAGCTGGGAGCACTGGACAGCTGTTTCGTCAGCCTGGTTTGGGACTCTTCAGCAGTATGCACCCACCGGGGCTCGAACCCAGGACCTTCTAGTTACAAGGCGAGCTCGTATACAATTAAGCCACTGGGACCCGATCCGGCATGAGTTGTGCACTCCCCCATAGACCTATTTATGACTCACCATAGCTGCTGATAAGCTTTTTATGCACAAAAAGGAGAACGATGAAATTCCCTTTACTCAAAACAGTATAAGATACAATCAGAAAGGGTACTGACGAAGTGCACGACAACTTTGTACACACACACATACACTCCATACACATGATTAGACAAATGTTTTGAAGTGAGGTAAAATCTAATCTGATAAAGTAGCACAACAGTTAATCGATTTTTGCTTTGTGAAACTTTCCTTGAAGCCATTTTTCTATTCAGACTCTCCTACTCCACTAAGTACGGAAATGTCGCAGGGAAATCTAAATAGGACATTCACTTCTATGCATCTGCATTGAGAAAGACGACCTGGCAAGGTGGGAAGTGGGTAAAAATACTCTCATGTGGCCACGAATTCATAGTCTACTTCTGTCGGGCAAGCCGTATTCACTCACTTCAAATGTCGGTGGTTTTCATCACAAAATCGAAACGGTGAATGCGAACGTCTGGCGTTTACAACCAGATGGGTGAACATGCTGGCCTAGATATCTAGGGGAGCCAAGGAAAAGCCCGATACCAAACCTATGGTGTACATAGGCTGCAGAATTCGAATGGCTACAGTGGCAATATGAACCCGTTTTAGTCACACTACTCTATTGCCTTGTAGGTAAGAATTCAAGTCAGACTAGTGAGAAGGGGCGTTTAAGACAACCACCTGCTTCGCCTCAAGCTGAGACAATATCCCAGCTTTCACACGAACTAGGAGATTCTGTGTAGCGCATCTCTATTGGTGTTCACATAATGTATGGAAAAAAAACAAATAGTAGAAATCACTAATAACAGGGACAAACAACAACTTACTAGGTGTTTTTGTTCAAATGTCGCTGTACAACACTCCCATTCGCATAAGTACAATACTGGCTTTTCCATGTTGACTGTTGTTGTAGACTGACCTTCGGAACTTTTAGCACCCTGATCATGATGATGATGATTGACGGGATTGATGGAATCTACACCGCACTCCACTTGTGATTCACTTGTCCGACATTCATTTTTTTCACATGAGTTCAATTGATTTTTAACTTCTGTGGATATTGTAGTAGAAATCTTAGAATCATAATCAGCCGATAGATTATTGGTGGTAGTGGTAGTGGTCACCACCTCACCGCAACCACCACTACCACCACAGCTGACGACTGTTTTATTCGATGAGGAATCATCATTAGGCTTCCAAGTAGGATCGAGCACAGAACCTGGTACAGGATTTAACCTCAATAGTGCATTTAACGATGCGGATGTATTACAATGCGCAGCGACTGTCCCAGTGAGATTACCATTATTGTTATTATTAGTGGTAGTATTGATAAGATCTCGTCGACGTTTCGGTGTAAACAGCCGACTCTTTGAACCCCATTTTCGTCTACGTTTTAAAAATCGATTCGAAGGATGCATAGCTTGAAAACTGATGCTTGATATCTTCTCCAGTTTATCAGAATTGTTATTGTTGTTATTCTTAATCAAATCAATATTATTATTACTACTGATATCTTTGGTAGACGGATTACAATTCTTTGTTGAAACATGCATGTCATCAGTTAAATATCCATTGCTTAAAGAGCTTTTATCCAACTTTTTCTCAGTGACCACTATCAGCCCCTCACAGTTATCTATATGATTTGATTTCCCACCATCCAATTCGGCAGTATTTACAATATTGGAATCCGGCTGTATCAAATAAATATATATATACATATAAGATTTATATATAGTCCAACAGAGGAAATTTGATTTTAAGCAAATTAAATATTCCCCTCCCCACCCACCACTCATTGAGTGTTAATATAAAGAAAAAGCCGCTCAGTGAAGAGTTACTCTTTTCAGTGATATCATCATTCTTAAGCTATGCAATCGAATATATATATGTATACCTATGTAGTAAATTTTTTTCAGAAACAAAAGAAATGTATATAATTGAATTTTAGATTTTCCCGTCGATTGATTGAACCAAAATACTCGGTCTCAGGTTGACGCGTCTGCCGGCTTCTTGTGCAGATGCTACAACGATCTCATGGCATGTAATTACAATTTAAATGATAGATGGTGACTAGCAGTGGAATCCAGGATAACGCGTATTTCGTCGTATTTGGGACTCGTCGGCTGGATATACCTGCATTCCCTAGTGAGCGATGATGTTCCCACCGAGGCTCGAACCCAATACCCATAGTTTCAAAAGCCAGTGTTATCCACTAGACCACATGGACCACGAGAGCCACGTCTCTTGTGCAACGGGTCATATTAATTATTTAATTGAATTTTAGATTTTCCTGTCTAGCGGATAACTCTTTGGCGTTTGAAACTATGGGCACTGGGTTCGAGCTTCGGTGGGAACATCATCAGTGACTGGGGAATGCAAGCACATCCAGCTGACGAGTCCCAAATGGGACGAAATGCGCATCCTTGATTCCACTATGAGTCACCATCCATCAATGAAACAAAAGGAATGGTTCCAAAGATGTGTCATTAGAATTGCATATTTTTTTAAGATAACAAACCATGTAATACAGAAAGCGTTATAACCGGATAGCAAATGAAATAAAAACCGAAATACGTAAATTGACTGATGTAAATAGACAACTGACAGGAGTGAGTAGAAAAATGAACTAGGGTCAAGTTAGGGAACAGTGATAGTTATAAAATGGAAGTATAACCGTGGGGAAGGGAGAAGAGAGAAAAGCAATACTCACGAAGTCATCCCAAGGAGCTCAGTCAAACAACATTTTTATTCGACTGTGATCATACAGTGGACGTTGATGACAAGCTTTATAGTGATCAATAAGCGAGGTAATAAAAAATGCTATTGGTTTTGCAGAAGCTGGGTCTATGTATACAAAAGAGGAGAGAGTAACTAACTTAGCTTAAATCCACCGTTGGGTAGCATGCTTTCATTTCACCTTTGTAATTTTACTTCCCTCTCCTTTTCCCTTCAAAGTGTTTTTCCCCATCACCATTATTATTATTATTATCATTACTATTACTTTATCCGACATACTGTTAGTTTCCTTAGGATATGTATGTGCAAATCAAAAAACCCATAGCTGAGTAGTAATCTTGATGTGAGGAGTATTCAAACTTTTCTATGAGTTGAAATCAGACAAGTTAAAGTCCTGTTATTCAGTCCTGAATGGTTTATGTATGTTAACTTTATCTATTTTCGCTTTACATTAACGAAATTTCAAGAGTATGGTATTTCGATATCATATCTACATGTTTATAATTGTATTGATTCTACCACGATAACTCCAATTTGTATGTTAATATGTAATTGGATGTTGAATAATATTCACTTAATAATTGTGTTAACAGATGATTACTCACCACTTGTAGATCATGTATTTTTTTTCAAACTGATACTTATTCGCTGTTATCACATTGGTCATATGTTTGTGTGTATGTATTTAACCTTAAAACAGAAATTGTGTAGATAACAATGTTTGTAGAGAGGAATATTCAACTGACGAATCCTTCCACCGAAATTTATGTGAATTCATTGAAAATACTGTTTTCTTCACAGTTGTTGCTCGTCTTAAATTTACTACAGAAAGAGAATGTTTCCAATATATAAACATACCATCGGACAATTACTCGCATGATTTTATTAGGAGTAGGAAGAAATATTAACTGTACAACACTGTGTGATTTATCAAAATAAAATCTTATCCATAATGGAGTTAAAGTGGACTTGATCTGTCTTAAAACTGGATATATAGTTTTCTGTTCTCAGTTGAATCGTTGCGTCGGTGGCACAGTGGTTAGGACTCTAGCCAACCATGCACATGGTCCGGGGTTCGATCCCCCACCGACGCACACCTGATATCAAAGGTCGGCCTGAGAAATTTGCGCTACCGATATCACATACTGAAAATTCCATACTTGTACCAAAATTACGGTGTGGAACCAAGCCAAAATCAATCTAGATTACATTTCTAATCCCTCGTTCAATTTTAGCTGAATTCCCCTAAATCCCATCAATCATATTACGTCACTTACTGTACTTATCTAATTTTATCTCAGTGCTCCTATCCAATTAACGCTTTCTGTATTACGTAATCGTCGTCGTCCGACGGTGACATGGTCGAGGTCATGTGAAGAGCAGATAAAAGCATGTGGGCAAACGTGGAGCGAGGTGAAAACGTTGGTGGAGGAGAACCGAATGCAATGGAGACGTGCGGCTGAAGCCCTATGTTCCTCTAGGAACTAAACGAGACAATGAATATATATATATATATATATATATTCGATTGTACAACTTGAGAATAAATAATATCGTTGAAAAGAGTAACTTCTTCACTGAACATCTTGTCTTTTTTAAATTTTTTTTAAAACGACGTCATTTAAAAGTACAATGACTGATAAAGTATCCCGTTTCAAACGCCATCATCATCGCGCACAGGCACATATAACATCTATAGGCACAATAATACTTCTTGACATTTATATCTGCACACCACTGTTGACTCTACACACCCTGCCAATGAATTTAGTAAATATAATAAAAATCTTCATTCCACAGTACGCTAAAAAGATAGATAGATAGATAGATATGGATATAGATATAAGGAGATTTCACTTTTATTCATAAATATAAGAGAGACACAGAAAGAGAGAGAAAAAGCCTGATTTGTGAAGACAGAAGAAATCATCGTCTCAACAAAACAAAACAACAACAAAAAAAGCAAGCTCAGTGTTCTTTTTTATTTTTTGGTGAACATTGGAACTAATTTTTTCAAAAATGTTCAGATGAATGTGTAAAAAAGCGAAACCAAAAAACTTTTATCAACGCACACACACACACACACGAAAAACACCCAAATGCCATTAGTAGTTTTACTATCATTGTTAATGATAAACTGACTTACTGTCTCAGCTTTTGTTTCTCCAGTATAATGCACACCATTGATGATATGCTGTTTATCATCATCATCATGATCAGCTGATTTCGATTGTTCTGTTGTGGACAGTTTAATGCTTTTCTTGTCTTGTAGAGCTAAAACAGCCTCTTGTAAGATACCAGTGCGTAGACCATTTTTATGCTTACTGTTAACAACCATATCAGCATGACTATTTAATAATTCTTTATCATCAACAACAACACTGTTGCCTTCATCACCGTTAACAAGTATTGGTTTGGTTTCACTGTCGACAACAACTGGAACAACACATGGAGAAGGTGGATTCGATGAATTCTTATTATTGTTATTATTATCACAATCCTCATGATTTGAAATAGACTTTAGATGGGGTGGGGAATTTCGTGAACTGTTTGCTTTAATCATACTTTCATTGGGCGGTAATTTTACAGGACTATCTATATGTACATGTTTTTCTGTGAGGATTGATGAAGGCTCTATATCCTCCTTCTCTGAAGGTGTTGAATTTTCTACAAAATATAAAATTAATACAATGAATACAAGAAAGTCGGAACAAAAAACATGTACCCATTATATTCTTCTTACTACAGTAACAATTAGTATATTATTTACAGGGACTTTTTTAGGACCACTCAAATATATACAACATAATTTTTAATTTATTTCCAGTTTGATCACCGATTGATATCACTCAGTTAGAGAATAACAATTGGAGATCCAACTAGTCGGGAGTGAAGACAAATACTCACCATGGATGACATTAGCTGGTAGTCGAGTTAGAATCACGAATTGGTAGGATGCAATCAATGGCCTTGTCATTGAGTCGGGTCCCAGTAAGTGAATGGTCGCCTTGTAATCGGAAGGTCCTGGGTTCGAACCCCGGAGATGGGGTGAGTCCCAAACTAGAAAGAAGCAAACTACCCAGTATTTCTCCGCTGGTGTCTTCAATGGTTCTCTAACTGATATCATTCACAATCCATGGTCAAACTTGAAACATACAACAAAACTTCAGACGGCGCTGCTTGATTCCAATGTGTCCATATATACTACTCTATTACCCCTATGCGGTTAGACAGTTCAAAATAGACTAAAGGTTTTGTCATACACCTTTAAGAAGCAAACTATATAGTAAGGTCTTTCCTTCGAAAGAAAGCGGGATCCTCAGGGATGCTAAAAACCACTGGATGGACACTCTTCAGGTTATGATAATGGCTTAAATCCGTTCTCAATAGGGAACAGACGAATTCACTCTCTAAGAACCATTAAATCTGCATGGTTTTCCATATTACATTTCTGCTGATTATAGCGCTTTCGTGTTACTTTTTTCTTCTTCCTTTCCCCTACTGATTTGTACTACATGAAGTGTGGAGTAAACTAAACTCGTGAACTACTGTGCTAAGTTCTATGCTGAAATTTGGTCAGCCAGTCATTTAAAAGAAAGCGAATAGAGACAACACAGTTCCATGAATTCATCTTTGTTTGGCTGTTTGTATAAACATATCAGAAATCAGAATTTTTTAAAAGGTAAACGTAAGATGTTTTACTGGTTACATACACTGTAAATTCAATCACTGAATAAACCTTGTTTATGTTCAGAGTTCAGAAATCAAAATACGAAAGAAAAAAAAAGGATAACTTCTACAGGTCAAAATTTTAACCGCATACTTTCTAGGAATTCCCACACTGATTGACTGGTGTCAACATAGAATTCTGCACAGACAATACACCAGAGTTAAAGATACCACAATCCATGTAGTGGGTAATAACGAAGGAAGACAAAAGAAGAAAGAAATTCGAAAGAACGACGTGAGTTTAATGAAGCGCATGTGCTCATTGGAGAACGACTTTTAGTCATATCACCAACTGTCTCCAGTCGTCATTGGTTTTTACCATCTCTAGGACCCCAACCAGGAAGTCTACACCTTCTTACTTGGCTTAAACCAACTGTTGTGGATTTCACTGATTGATAAAGCCACGTTTTCGCCTGACCACCACTGACTTTTCCGACCTGATCCATCTTATGTCAGCTAACGTTGTCCGTCGAGGAAAGCGATAGTTAGGCATGCATACATAACATATGTCCTAACCATCTCCATCAATGTAGCATAACAGCTTCATCGATTAACTTTCCCTCGTTACCTAACAGCACTTGACGCCTAACCTCAATATATAACAACGAAATTGGCTTGTAGGTTCAGTTGGTGACTAGAATTAATTAGGAGGAACAACGAAAAGACTTTGTTTCTCCCCAGTAAATCGATGATACGCTTTGAAAGAGAAAGAGTAGATACGCCCACAGAAGCAGTTGAACTGTAGGATATACTGATACCCGCAGCTGTAACCTATCCTTTATACACAATGAAATTAATAGTTGCGGTGAGAGTGAGTCCGCCTAGTATAACTACATTCTACGAGATAAGCAATTTCTTAATATTTGTACAGTTTTTGGATGACGGTTTCCCATCAGAACAATTTTAAGAGTATTCAAGTCATCTTTGAGAGTATCTGTAATCTGTAATATCTAGAGAGTTCACATAACCCATTAGCTTTCATCCCTACCAAAGGAATCGTAGGTGTGCAGTGGTAAACAATATCTGACCACACAAAAATTAGCTGTTCAGTTACAATCTGCTTCTCAATAGCTCTCCAGAAACAAACGATGTCAGTCTGTGATAAAACCCATGACGCTCATAGGTCAACATGATTATTGCAGATAATTTATCCTAACAATGTCATATCTTAGTTTAACGAATCTGACCTTACTTTTAACCTGATGGGATATACACTGATGGGCATGTAAAATAGGTGATTCGTTTACCCAATTCAACGAAGAGTCACAACCTTGATCCTAACAATTCACATGATTAACCTATTATTTTAGGCCTATCTTTCAACACTGATCATTTCTTGATCTTATCATATCCCAAGTAATGCTCTCAAAGTATAGCATACAGACCGCCATATTCTACGACAGAATTGACTTATGTCGACATCCACTTGGATATCCCACACATACGTTAGACCAACTTCGGTATTGGCGTTAAAATCTTACCAGTTACAACCTACAGTTATAGAGCTGACTTATGAAATCAAAACTGTTGGACACATTATGCCTGTAGTCGGAAGAACAGCTTGTGCTGAAGAGAAATTGTACCAAGGAGTTGCCAAATGAATATTCAAAACATTTAACCGTCGTTAACCTTATGTGATACACTAAATATTGTCAACAGCATTTATTGTAACTAAGCATCAGAGGAATGAAAAACATCCGAGGTTTTTCAAAAACACTCACCAGTTATGCTTAAAATTAAAAGATAAAAACGATTTATATTATCAATACACACACACCCGCATATATAACTTACCTGAAGAACACAGAGACTTGGAACTGCTTGAAGTGACTGACAGCTGTGATGACGAGCTGCTGCTTATGCGATGGTCGGTCATCACCGGCATATTCCCTGATGAGTAATTAGTCCGACAAGGAGAATTTGGAGTCGGCATTTTCGATTTGTTTATCAGCTGAGAAGACGAGGAAGGCGGAGGTGGAAGAGGCGGTGGTGGAGATGAAGGCAGGCTATTTCGTGGTTGAGGCCATTTTCCCGACCGACGTAACGCAGATGGCGGCGGTAAAGACGGTGGCGGCATTTGTAGCCTGTCTGTCAGCTCCGACAAACTTGGTGTCATTGTTTTAGGCGATGTGTTGATGATAGAATTGGAAGTTGGTGAATCCGGTGTTGATGATACACTTAAGTTTGAGGATGATGATGATGAAGAGGATGGTGTTGTTGAGGAGAGTAAATTTATAAGACCTGAGCAAGCAGTACTTCCACTTTGAGGTCTGTAAACCGGTTGTGGCATACAAGATACTACTGGTGTAATAATGGATGGTTTCAGTGGAGTACTGGATTCAGATTTTAAACTATGAAAGGAAGAAGTAGCAGGATTACGAAGATCATTAATAGAATTAGAATCGGATGGGATTGAATGCAGTTTAGAAGGGGATTTTGGAAGGATATACGTCTTAAATGTTTGTCCACTATTAGCATGTAATGGTTCTCGATACCGATTATGGTCATTTACACTAGGAGGTGGTATACGACTGGGCACGGGTATTCGAAAATTCGGCGCATGGGAGGGTTGAGGTTGTGATTGAATTTGTGGATTACGAGGTAACAGCTACAATAAAACAGTAAAAAAAAGCAATACAAATTGAAACATCTGCTCTAAATCAACCCTGGAAACTAGAAACAAAGCTGTGCTAATTTTCCTAAAAACTCAGCATTCTTGATGATTTTTCTGAAAATAGTCACTCTTTACTGAGATATTATTCAAACGACATTAGTGAGTCACTTTAAAATTCTATAAAAGTGATAATAACTGGAAAAAGCATGTGAAGTCTGGATTTGTATTTTGTCAAATAGGCTGATAGATTCCTTCAGTATGCGTGAATCAAAGCAATAAATTACAATCATTAATGACAGATTAGAAACACTGTGTTTTACTAGGTTTCAGAACAAACCATATTATTAACTGCCTCTCCCCTGAAGAAACGACGTGGTACAACAAAGGGTGGGTAGACATCGATCTTCCTCACGTAATACTCTCAAATGACCACGGGTTCATATCCTACCTCTACCAAGTAAGCTCTATTCACAGCTTTTACGCGGCAAAGGTGTTCCCCAGACAAATGAAACGGCAAATGCAAACACCTGGCGCTTACAACCAGACTGGTAGGCATGTTGATCTATCTGTGTCTAGGGGAGCTGGAAGGCCCTCATCCCAAACTTACAGTGTATGTATACGGCCTCAGAATCCGAATGTACTGAATGGTGTAGGAATCTGCTTTGGTCACCAGAAACCATGGGAACCTAGCTCGTGAATCTGATCTACTGCCTTAGGGATCAGAATTCAAATCAATGGCTCGGGGAGAGGCCCTTCAAGACAATCACTTGTACGTTGATCTAGGCTAGGACATTATCACAGCCCGCGTACCAACTATGAAATTTTGTGCAGTGCCTCTCTTGGTATCCATAATGTGAAATATTCAACTGATTTATGGATATAACCAATGTCAGTTCTGATAGAATAAACTCTTATTCCATTATTCACAAAATTCTACAGTAGAAAGTCAGTAGTGCTAATTCCGCTTGTCTAGAAGCAAACACTAAGGCCATCATCATCTGTTTCTGTGATACTTTCATTACAAACCGGATGCAAATTACCAGTTGATTATCATTCAATGAGAGGCATAGAAAAGATAGTTACGCTAACAATCCTTTGAGTTCCAAGTAGAAATTATCACTTCAAGCTTGAGGTTTGGAGTTTCAGTAGCTGTGATGGTACTTCAATATTATTACTGTACAAATATGAGCTGTTGAACACGCGGAGAGGTGGCTCACCAGCTTAAGCACTTGACTTTTACTGAGTGGGTGGTCCTGGGTTCGAACCCCACTCCACCTACTTCAGCCTAGCTGCGCGGGGAGGGGAGGGTGGAGGCAACTGGATAGTATCCCCAACCCTCACACACAATAGTAGGTGTGGCTCATAGTCCAAAACATGAAAGACCTGTTCCAGTTAGTCAGTTCACTATCCAGTTGTTAAACACAACTAGGTAACCAATTGCTTTTTTCTCACAGATCCAAATCCCCTTCTCTTAACGAGTACTAATGATTATTGTATACCAAGTGGACTTTCTTAACAGCTCCTAAAGATCAATAATATGTTGGAGAAAAATCTCAAAACTTAGTTTTCTGAGTCGATGGTGATAGAAGAAATCTGTACAAGAATACAAACACCTCGTCTCTTTCAGTTAATATGAACAAAGAGCTCAGCAGTCTTAATGAGAACAGACCAAATCAAGCCCCAGTTTATCAAAAGAGGATTGTAACTCGGAAGTTGGATATCCCAAGGAAACCAAGTGAATGAATGTGTGTTGCTCAATCAGATGTGCTACTTGCAATCCAATGCAGTTGGCAATGGGACCACGTCTACTGTGTAAGGGAAGGTGGAGGATGCCTAAACCTTGGATGAGCGGGGTGGGATTCTACCCCCCTGACCTATTTGGTTGGAAGCTGGGAGCCTAGACCAATGAGCCACAGCTACTAACTTGACATAGTCGTCTGGCTTGCATACTGCAACAACCCAAAAGGTTACACTAACTGAAACGAATGTTATTATATAGTTCCTACCATACCAGAAAGAATATTTACATAGCAGTTAGACTAAAAGCAGACAACATTCCAGGGTAGGGTCATCTACACTATGTTGGGTGTCAGAGAGCGAAGTCAAACTGCTGTTGAATGTGTAGAGGAGTATACCAGCATGTCCGATGCACCACCTCTTCTTCCTAAGGAGGGGGCGGGAGATAGAAAAGGCAGACTCAACCCCAAAAATTGTACATCCCAGTGGTAAGATCTTCATATGGACACAAGACTGAAAACTACTTCAAACACGCTAGGTGTGACCAACTTCAAGCAGTTGTCCTTTGGGCTCTGGGGTCAAGGAACACCCACTAATGCTCTTTATGTTTCCAATATCTCAAGAAGAGACCAACTTCTACAGTATAGGCATCCAGGAAGTAATGACCGCCCACATACACAAAACACACACACACTTTCATAAGCATACAAAGCTCACATGATCACCAGACCTATAGTCTGGTATGGCTAAAACAATTTTGACTACTTTGAAACCCCTAGATACCTCTCTAGATATCTAGAGAAAGTATGCAGTGAATTGTCCTGCCAGACAAAATTGTGCTAGTACGGTTTATTCTAACTGTCACATATGCTCATACTGTGAAGGAATATGAGTTAAGACTAACGATTACACCGTAACTTATAATATTTGCAATAAAATACAAAATCAAATCACAATCAAAGATACCTTCCAGCATAACTTCACCTGAAATATGAAACTGACTTACCCTAATACGATGAAGGGATTGTGATCCCATAGCCTGACCTTCCAATGTTAACAATGCTAGCAGAGGTTGAAGTAAAATAAAAGGAATGTTTCCACCATCCAATGAATCCAGATTTGAGCAACAAGACTCCCAACATGTGACACATGTTGTTGCATCCAAGTTTGTCAGGCAGCGCATAGCTTCTAAAGTAGCACATACAATTGCTAAATCTGGCAAGCATAACAACTGAGCAAGCCGTGGCCAAACAGTTTGAGGTAGACCAACAACAAGACTAGATAGATTCCCTTTGTCGCGTACTTTGGTTAAATTAGCCAGAAACATCAAACCTGCACGGCGGGAGGGGGAAGGGAAGAAGTTTAAAATATTTTTCCAGAAGTATCACACATAGTATTTAACACTGAGTATATATGCTACAAAAAAACAATTCGGAAAACTAAAAGTCAATCTGAACGAAGAATATTCTTTTCAATACATCTTTCTCTTCAGGTTCTTACAATTATAAAATGATAATATTTATTGTCGTTACAATAACGACCAGTTATGCGGCGGATAAATTTTTAACGTAGAATAACCGATTGGTTATGGGGTGTCAAAATAAATAGTCGTATTTGTGTGACAAACGTGCTAGGCTGAATTCGATTACAAAATATTGTAAAATGGGAGACAATGGTGCTGATTGATTATAATAGATTTGTAGAGTGTGGGGTAGGAAAATTGACAAGTCAGTTCAAGGGTATAAAAGGTGTCAGGTGAGTGGCTAGTACAAAGTGGTCTGTGTTAAACAGGAGATAGTAAGACTGCAATGAGAAAAGAAATTGTGCACTGATATTCCCATTAGTAATCTGAAACAACTACTTGTTAAATGTACAACAAATGTTCAGTTCTTGTTTAATAATGAAATATACAGACAGGTTGATGGAGTAGCCATGGGATCCCCACTGGGACCTATTTTCGCGAATATATTTCTAGCAAGACTAGAAAATAGTCCGTTGAAAGAGGACATAGCAAATATGGAAATGTATTGTCGTTACATGGATGACACTTTGTAGTGTACGATGAAGGGTTAAGTAGTGATTTGATTTTGAGCAACTTCAATAATGCTCACCCAGCGGTCCATTTCACCTACGAAGAATACAACGACCCTCTATACTTCCTCGACGTCCTACTAACGAGAAGAGAGGATGGTTCCGTCAAAAGAACCATATTTAGAAAGCTAGAGACTGCGTAGAGAAAGAACTCCAGGTCATCCGAGACATTCTAAGCGAGAACGGATATCCAGAGAAGTTCATTAAAGCCAACATAGCTTACAATAGTCGTAAACATGAACTGGCAACGGTGGAGAAAAAGCCTCTGTTTTTACGTCTCCAATTCAAGGGAGATATTCCTGCGGAGATTATATCGCAAAGTTTAACCAGGACGATCAAGAAAACTTTCTATTCTGCACGTCTGTGTCTATCCTTCAGTAGCCATCCAATGTGCACCCAGCAACTCAAAGATGTCTTACCTAACCTTAGCTCTTTTTCATGCATATACCATAACTAATCTGTTATTCTACGTTAAAAATGTATCCCCCTCATAACTGGCCTTTATTGTAACGACAAATATTATATTTTATAATTGTAAGAACCTGAAGAGAAAGTTGTATTGAAAAGAATATTCTTCATTCAGATTGACTTTTAATTCATCCACACTATCAATTCATAAAACAGCAACTTACCCGCGATCAAATCACAGCGATCATTACTCTCTAGAATGCATCGAGTTAGAAATGCTAAAGTTAACTGGCCAAGACGACAACCATTATCAATCAACGGTGTCCAATCATTTGGACAATCCAGAGGAAGTGGTACACTAGGTGGATCTAATGGATAGCGTATACTTGACAGAAGTTGTAAACCCAGAGATTTTAAACCTGAATGCTGAGCATAACAACACAGATAGATAAAGCGAAGAGCATTTGGATTTGCGGCAATAACACGTGCATTATCCCGCCAAGTTGCAAGAGGTATACCATTTGGAAAAAGACTACACGGTGTAATAGGTCCAAAATCAAGTTCATCATCATCATCTTCACCGATAGATGATGTGTAGACAACAGGAGGTGGAGTGACTAAATTAACAAGAATTGTAGCAATCAGTAGAACACGGGAACCTTCACAACCTTCCATACACCAATGGGATCTATAGAATTCACTGGAAGATGGAGCGAAAAGTTCATTCAAGGCTTTCTCTTCATCTGTATCAATCTCATCGGAAGTATATTCTGAAATTTAAAAAAAAGAAGAAGAAGAGATTAGAATCGGTGCATTCTAGTTAATAAATAAATGTACATATGTAACAAGCCAGTGGTGATGCGACGAACAATGCAATCTGCATGCCCATGAAATTTGTACGTTTTAACTTTTCTTTAGTGCAACTGTAAACACGAGATAAGCAAAGCATTTAGAAACGAATGATGATTAACCAGTCATAACACACCTTGAAAATAGAAAATATTTCTTAGAAATCTCGACATTAGATGTCACATGAATATTATTAATCTTCAGTCAAAAGAAATATATCAGTTACAGGATTTCATCATGAGGTGACATCAGTTAGAGAACCATTGAAAAACCATCTGAGAGCACTGGAGAGCTGTTTCGTCCTAGTGTGGGAGTCTCCGGCAATACGCACCCACCGCGAATGCTCAAACCCAGGACCCTCTGGTTACAAGGCGAGCTCGTAGACCACTAGGCTACTGGGACTCCATCCAATGGACAGTCCATGAATTCCAACTTCTGCCAATTCACGAAATTGCGCAACCACTAGCCAATGTCTTCGGAGAGTATTTGTCCTCACACCCGACCGGCTTCACCCCAATGGTCCTGGGTTCGAACCCCGGTGGATGCGTACTGATGAACAGTCCCAAACTAGGATGAAACAGCTGTTCCAGTGCTCCCAGGTGGTTTTCCAATGGTTCTCTAACCGATGTCAGCTCACAGTGAAATCCTGTAACCAATCAATCAAATCCCTACAAACCAATACTTGAAGAAATATACTAGATGGTTGAAGGCAATCTGCAGAAAGTCTTCGACTTAGGTTCCGTGCTTGCTAGAACTCGTCAGCAAGGAGTATCTGTAATTTTGAAGGAACTCATATCCCTTCTGAGATTCGAATTTGGGTCACCGAATATTGCAGTCAGAGACGTTACCACTGAGCTATTCGGACTCGTGACTGACTTCCTGTAGGACTGTGATGGGTACTTTCATTGGACACTATGTAATAATTAATGTCATGGCGTCTAGACCTTGGTAACATGAGTTCCTTCAAGATTGAACATATGCTTCGCTGACGGACGACTGCCAACAAGTACGAAGCCTAGGTCGAAAGCTTCCTCCTGCCGACTGCTTCCAACCACCTGACATTTCAGAGTGCACTATGATGGAGACGCACATAGTATGGTGGCCATATTGTAAAACTGACTGTGACAGAACTCTGCATCAAACCAAGGACTAGACACATGACACTAGTTACCACCACCTAATGTCCAATCAACAGAAACCTAATTTAGCTTCTCTTTCACTTGTCTTTTTCAAACCTTGCTTACAAATAATGGGAGAGAGAACAAATATATAAAGAATAAAAAGGATTCAAGCGATTTGGCATTTAATAAAGGACTGAATGCATCTACACTAAATGAGAATAATTTATCCAAGTGGTTGGTCGGTCGGTCGGTCAATTAACAGTCCCCCCTCCCACCAATTAGATCTTAGCAATAATGACATTCCTAATTAACAGGCTATCAACTGTACCATGTATGCTAAGAGAATCAATGAGACGTATTCATGGATTAATTCACCAAACTCAACAGAAAATGAACCGCCTAGCTCGTGAACTTGACAGGACTGGAAAAGAATTTTAAAGAAAAGATGTGCCCTTATACGTACATACATATGTACCTTTGACATTTTAATTTTGATTATTTCCCTGAAGGAGTTCGGAGGAGTCTGATGAACAAAACGTTGGAATTATTTATAATTTCAATCTAACTGAGAGATTATAGAGATATAATCTTTCTTCTACATGTGTCTACTTCTCATCGCCCAGCGCTTAGTCAAATCTGGATCAGAGTCACCACCTAGCTTTTGGAAGTGTGTGGGCGGTTGTTACCTCCCGGCTGCCCACACCGTGGAAGTTGGTTGATTCTTCGGGTACCTGAAACAGAAAGAGGGTTAGTGTTGCTTGACCGCAGAGCCCAGGGGACAACTGCTTCAGGCCGGCCGGTCACACACGGCCTGTATGAACTGGTTTCTTGGTTTGGTTCCGTATTAGTAAACTTACCGCCGGTTACGGACCACCGTAGGGTAAGTCGGGATGTACAATTTTTGGGGTCGACCTTTTCTAACCCCGTCTCTCCGGAGTGAAGAGACAGCATAGAGCTGACAAGCTGGTCATCTGAGGGAAACACCTCACTGCTGTTACATCCCTGTTCCCTAGCAGTACGACTTCGTCCTCAGACCTTCAGCAAAGTGAAAGAAAGATTCTTACACTATGCCGGCAACTGCTTTTAGTCTAATCGCTATCCTAAAAACCTTCCTGGCATGGTAGGACCTGCAGGAACAATAGTTCCAGCCAGTGTAACTTGTTGGATCATTGCGATGTGCAAGCCCGGCGGCCGCCACGTCAAGGTAGCAGCTATCGGTCGGTCGCCTAGCAGTTTAATCGTCAACACATCTCGAGGGTCTTTTGGATCTGTAGTTCGTTTCTCGACTGTAAAATGGAATATCCGCCAAGCCCCCTCCCCCCCCCTCAAAAAAACCAACCACAAACTTGGAATAAAATCTCGCTTTAAATCTTTAAAGCTAATAGAGAACAAAACAAAAAAAGAAAGCAACACAGGCTTGTTGTCTTCTTGTCATATAATAACAAAGGACAAATTAGTGAACTAAATATATACGCAGTAAATAATTTATATTCGAAGCACTTTAAAAAAAAACAGTTAATATATAATGATCGTAAAAAATAGAAATACAATCTTGCACTTGCATAAAAAAGTGAAGCTGTACACAATGAATGAATGACCTCGTGCGTCAACGACAACAACAACAATAAAAAGTCAAAACTATATTCTATTCTGCTGGTTGGTTATCATCGAAAGTCATGTGATGCAATTTTATGTATATAATACACAACTGTAAGAACAAGCACTTGAAGCCTAGATAATATAACTGTGAAAATCTTTCAAGGTTAACTTCTTTGTTGTATAACATATGTGTGTATACACATATATATGCGCATGCTTAAAATAAACCACTGGAAAAATGATTTTTTTTAGAAAAAAAGAAGGATATCAATCAATTTTCTCTAAAATAATAAAGAAGAAAATTTGTAAAAATCATTTACACTTACCAGCATTAATGAAAACATCAGGGCGAAGAAAAACACGACCAGAAGGTTGACGAACAACATTGTACCAAAACTTTATAAAAGAAAGGAAATTATTTGGTGATATATATACATAAACCCATAAAACTAACAATTAAGACTTCTGAAGATCGAGTCCTGGCTCTGTTTGAATTTAATCTAAGTAAAAGAATAAATGTTTATAACACAGCCAATAAAAATTCTCGTGGTAGATAAACCAACCAAATTAAAAACAGCTGACTAAGCAGTTGACCAATGAGAAGAGTTATACACAATGTGTACACAGACACGGAGTACTGTTCACATATAGATTCACTATGACAACGTCTTTCATCTACACACCCGCCCCCGCCTTTCAATATGGTATAATAAATACTGCCTTAAAGAAACTGAGGTTTATTTTAAAGATAAACCCGCGTTCAATAAAGGATGTAAGTTTCAAATTTAGTAAAGTAATGTAGGGGGAAAAAGTTATCGAAAACAGACTAACTGAGACTAATATGATCATTAATAAGAAGTTGAAACTTTTATAATCAAAATGAGAGATATACGGCTTCATAACCTCAATGATTAATTATGTCTCTCTTGAAATATGCCCGCGGATTCATATCAGTTAGAGAACCACTAAGAACTAGCAGTGACTACTGGACGGCTCTTTCGTCCTAGTTTTTGGACTCGTCGGCAGTACGCACCCAACGAGTTTCGAACCCAGGACAAATGCTCGCCGATGACATTGACTGATGGTCGAGCTAAAATCACGTATTCGTAGAAGTTTGAATTCATGGCCTAGTCATCGAGTCGGGTCCCAGTGGGTGAATGATCTACGAGCTTGCCCTGGGTTCGAACCCTGGCGGTGGGAGCATACTGGTGATGAGTTTCAAACTAGAATGAAACAGCTGGCTGTCGAGTACTCCTTGCTGGTTTTCAATGGTTCTCTAATTGATATCGGTCAGTGGTCAAACTTGAAAAATACATCTCTCTTTTCTACTCACCATACGATATTACTCGACTGGGGATACAGAACGTTAACACTTATGGTCAAAGACAGCTAACCTGTTGATGCATTTTCCGCTTACAATGAATATGTCTCACACTCATAAAGGAGAACGAAGTGAACTGTTGAACAGTACAAACATCATTTTATCAATAGCCGGATGACTTAATTTGATAAATTAAATGGCAGGCATTCTATATCTAGTGACTACGAATGAGTTGTAGTGTCAACATCGGCTAACAATTTTCCAGCCTACCTAAAAGGATATAATGATGTTTATACGAATTTGCAAGCCTCAGGATACTAGGAGCACAATTACACTTCAGCATACAAGATACAATGATAACTTCAGATTTTGCTTGATCAGTCAATTAATTAAGCAGATACAATACAAAGTTAAATCACCGATATAAACAACAAAGGTTTATTTGTGTAATGATTATTTTGAAAAATTGACTAATTTCTACTGTAAATCCTGTGTCAATTAAGCGGCTGACACCTGCACTTGAGCATACTTTGCTGTCTTTCATAAAGACAATATTAGGGATATGCTCAGAAAGTCTAGTAAACTCTCGCTCTCTCTCTTCAGTCTATCCTTCCTATGTGTACTTACTGCCGCAAGTGCAAGTGAATTGGTAAATGCAATTGGAGTTTCATATGCAGAGTAGAATACTTATATCTACTTTTGACAGAGTTAACGAGTATACCGTGTTGTTTAAGTGGAATGAGCCTAGCGGCAGGAAATGTCCTTTTCAAAATCCACCCTTAATTCTTTTTATCAGCAGCTTTTGTGGATACTTCTTCCCCTTTAGTACACGACAGGACAAACAAGAAGTTTGTAGGTGGATATGTTTACAAACAGACAAGCTGAGGCAATGATAAACAAGGATACTGTCACAACAGAAATCTAATCTAGACAGGTGGGTGGTAAGACTTACCTTTAAAAAGTCTAGCTGGCTTTGACGTCTCCATGTTTCATCACAGGAAATATACGATCCAAAACCTAAAGTGAAATCCAATTCAAACATATTTTTAGAATTTATTGTGTACAGTCAGTCATCGAAAAAGATTACCGAAAAGACTAAATGAATCACAGACCAACTAATCCACCTTCAGCAAGGGGAATAACTAAGATCACAACATGTAAGTGAACCGTGGATTTGCATTTACGTACTTAAAGTAAATTGACGGGTAGATGATGATCCAATATGAAATTTTCAGTAGAAGTACATTAGTTGAAGTCAGGACACAAAAAGTGAAGATGAAGCTAACAGAACTCCTGAATCCTATCAAGCTATATGCCTATAATTTGAGAAAGGTTTGATATCGTCGACAACATCGTTTACCTAGTCAGTCCAGGCTGTGAAGCAGTATTTTCAATGAATTCACATAAATTTCAGTCGAACGACTCGTCAGCTGAATAGTTCTCTCTACAAACATTGTTATTTATAGGACTTCTGTTTTAAATTTAAATACACACACACAAACAAATGACCACTGTGATAACAACAAATAAGTATCAATTTGAAAAAAAATACATGATCTACAAGTGGTGAGTAATCATCTGTTCACACAGTTATTCAATGAATATTATTCAACATCAAATTACATATTAACATACAAATTGGAGTTATCGTGGTAGAATCAATACAGTTATAAACATGTAGATATGATATCGAAATACCATACTCTTGAAATTTCGTTAACGTAAAGCAAAAATAAAGTTAACATACATAAACCATTCAGGACTGAATAACAGGACTTTAACTTGTCTGATTTCAACTCATAGAAAAGTTTGAATACTCCTCACATCAAGATTACTACTCAGCTATGGATTTTTTGATTCGCACATACATATCCTAAGGAAACTAACAGTTTGTCGGATAAAGTAATAGTAATGATAATAGTAATAATAGTGATGGGGAAAAACACTTTGAAGGGAAAAGGAGAGGGAAGTAAAATTACAAAGGTGAAATGAAAGCATGCTACCCAACGGTGGATTTAAGCTACGTTGGTTACTCTCTCCTCTTTTGTATACATAGACCTGGCTTCTGAAAAACCAAGAGCATTTTTTATAACCTCGCTTACTGATAACTATAGAGCTTGTAAACAACGTCCACTGTATGATCACAGTCGAATAAAAATGTTGTTTGACTGAGCTCCTTAGGATGACATCGTGAATACCAGAAATCCATTTGGCGCAGTATTCAGCAAGGTAGACCGGAAGACATCTTTGCGTATGCCCAATGTAGCTGCCTCCACAAGCACATGAAAACTGATACACACATTTTGATGTGGCAAGGATCGATATCTTATCATATGCTGTTGCTTGCACTACCTTTTTTTTAATATGTTATATGTACCTTGATGAATATTTTTTCACTTAATATCGGCGTTAACAGATTATTACTCACCATTTATAGATGATATATTTTTTGTCAAATTGATACTTATTTGTTGTTGTCACAATGTTCATGTGTATAAGTAACGATGTTTGTAGAGGATTATTCAGCTGATAAGTCCACCAAATATTTTTTTTACTATTCACCTGCACAATGCAGGTGAAAGACCAGGCAGACTAAGCTGAGAAGATGCATACTTTTCCAAACAACTTACAAAAACGAATAACAACTTTATAAAAATGGGATTAAAAGTGTTTACATAACGGTAACCTTCTCAGACATACACACACATACATTTGAAATTATTCTTAATAATAACGACAGCTACTGAACGTGTGCAAACTTAGTGTGTAACAGTGAAAAATAGGGTTTTTCCCATCTTGATTTATTTACAAGATTGCATTTGTAAACCACCAAGTAAATCCCCCTTGGCGACATCTTCACAAGAAAACTACCTAACAACTTGCCGCTACAATCTCTTGTTTTAAACTGAATACTCTATGAGAGTCAAAAAAAAAAGTAATGAAATCTAGAAACACCACAATACGAATGCATGCAAAATCAACAAAAACAAATCGTACTTCAGAATAATGCAATACAATAAAATAAACCACATCGACTTCAGGATGATAATTGTCATCTTTAGAGTAGGCATATGGTCAAAATATTACGTTTTGGAGGTAACTATCGAAATGATCACTCTTATACAAAAATGTATTTGCAAATATTACCCCCAAAATAGAAAAAAATCGTATTAAAAGCAATATAATTACAAAGTTGAGTAATCTTACCTTCACTATATATACCAACAGAGGCTAATAGGAGGGAGAGTAGATTAGTACAATGAGCTAGTCGAACACTGGTCGACGAACCAGATGATGGAGTTATCGACAGGACAAGCAAGGCGTTCAAGGCAACTTCTATTTCATTTGGTAAACCTGAACAAAGAGCTGATTCTACCAATCGCAGTTGCGATGGTTCATATAAGTCAGGGAATTCATCTGAATGATTGGAGTCAGAAGTATCATTGTCTTGACTGAGCACAGAGTATTCTCTATTAGTTTGACCATATTCCTGAAAACAAAAATAAATATATTTCGTATTCTTACATAAAATGTGGAAATACATAATTGCATAAAATCGACACTAACTCCAGGTGTTAGTAAACAGGTCACAAGTGAATGACAGGATCAGGTAGCAGCTTCAAGATATGAGTATCGTGCAAAAATTACTCAGATTAGAAAGTGATAAAAACAACATCCCGAAATAAATTTTTAGTGGGTTTACATGGAAGCACTGATAACAATCGTAACATCAATAAGCCAGGCTGGCTTAGGAAATGAATTTTTGCCGATTAAGCAGTATTAAATTGAGAAACTCCTGGTAGCTTCTCTGTTACGGCGTACATCTGAGTCCTCTTAAGGTGAAAAATGAGGACACTTAAATCATGTAGCAACTAAACTATAGCGGATTAAACACATCAATCGAACCCTGCTAGTCAAAACCCTTCTAACAATGTTAATGTTAACTAGCAGCATGGAATAACTTTTTAAGAGCTACTAGTTGGTAATGGTTCGCTGAAATTGATAGACCCTGATGGTCACATTTATTCAACGGAGGTTTGTAAAATACCAGAAACAGGTGAAATAAGGAAGCAAGTTGGGAAAAAATTGAATATGCAGATTGATACAATTCCCTCATGTTACGAAGTTACACACGTAGTTGCATGAACACTGCACCTCTTAAATCTAACTGCTGATAATAGGGGTAAGTCTCGAAAAGAAAACAAAATATGCAGAACACTGTAAATCAGTCAGTCAGTAATACGCTTGACGTAATCAACATCCAATAACACCTGTTCATTATAAATGAATCAACATTTTATAAAAATGCTGAGACAGAGACGTGGTAACCCTTCTGAACCACGTGTTCGAAAGGCAACAGAATACAAACTTATAAAGCTGGACCATTCATTAAAGCTGGACCAGGCGCAAATACTTAAATCAGGGTTAATCACTGCATTTGTGCATCAGCACACCATAGAACGTTAGTTGGATATGAAGTCACCTAACTGAAACGTAACGACTTTGAACCTAGCTAACTTACTTACTTTTTACTTTACTTCGGCTATCTCCTACGGGAGGATGAGCCGGCTTCATGAACATCTCGAATCATCGCTGCCCAGGCGCGGCGATCTCATGCAAGGTTTTGCGACAGGGTTACCCAATTCTTGTTCCACAGACGGAGTCCGTAGACGGTTTGTAGCCCCAGGCACTCCATATCAGCCTTGACTGTACCAAGCCATGTTTTCAGCTGTCCACCCCTGCGATATCGCCAAGATGGTAACGGCGAGGGATTTAGAACTGATTTGACCAGATCGTCATCTGGTCGGCGCAGAACATGGCCAAACCACCGAAGGCGACGTTGTTGGACCAGTATTGGAATTTGGTTGATGTTGTAGCAACGACGAAGAGTTCATGAAGTTTCATGGGAATTTGGCACGAGTGATGTCCCCAGAATCGCTCAGCCTTTTGTTTGAGAGTGCAGCTCTAGCCTTTACACAACCAAGTGTGACCTACAAGGCAGTAGGAGTGGAGTAGGGAGTCCACTATCCAACGGCAGCCGGTGACCGGAGTTCGGTTCATACACCTTTTTGAATGGGGCCAGACATCCAGGAAATCCAACAAACCCTTTGTCCATACGTCTGCCGGTGAGCTCCAGAGAGCTTCATACGCCAGTCGTTGGAGGTTTGGAATCAGGGTTGAGCCATCTCCCCTAGACTGTCATCCAATGGACAGTCAACCCGGTGACGAGCGCCGGTCATCCGCTTTCGCCCTCTCACTTTGGTGAAAAACGCCTCCGCCACGTGAAGGCAGTGAGTAGGACTTCCTCAGGAGAGGCTATGTAAGACCTAGCTAACTATATAATGCTAATGCGACCTAAATGCCATGATTTGTCAGAATGTTGGTCCGATCTGTGTTGGACAATATCGGTTGTCCGGATCGAGTTCTCAAGATGCTGGAAGTCAAGAGTGAGACTCATTCTTTATTACCTTCAAGACTATGGACAGTACTAAAGCTTGGCGTTTTGTTACTTTGTTTGTAAGATACATAAAACACCAGCACTTCATGTGCAGAGCACAAATCATACGAATGAGTCAAGAAAATGACATATAGAATAGACTTAAGCTGATTATCACAATTTCGACATGTGATCAATGAAGAAAGCTCGTACATTGTGTTGTTGTACAAGAATACGGAAAGCGAACCAGCATCACATTTACACTGTGTTCTGGTACCTTGGGGTCAATGGTACCATCGTCCTTTACTACCAGTAGGAAAGTTACTAATACGAAACACCGACCTATCAGGAAATGTGGAAGCTACTAAGTTATTTAATAAAAACGGACAGATCAACACTGCATCTGTTTAGGCTGATTTCTCACTGTAATACACAGACAGAAGACAAGAGCTTTTGCAACAAAAGAACTGAGATAGAATAGGGAGAAAACTAAATAAAATAAACGACATCACTTAAGCCTCAGATAACAATGGTTTAATCTAAGCCAGAGTAAAGACCACGTCTTCAAGTAGCTAACTGGCATCTAACGTCTAGCATCTTAATGATCTAAAGTAGCATACAAACTGAATACACTGTGCCAGACGTCTTGGAATGAGTGTATCATGTAATGAGGCGGTTCTGATATCTTTTGTTTACAGGATGAATAACGGATAAAGTAACACCTGCTAGCGGTGCTTGCGCGTTATTTCAAAACGGTGCTTAGTTTCAGAGTATTACATAATAATCAACCCCCAAAAGAGCATACTATTTCCATTCTTTCCAACAAAGTATTGTCACTAATAACAATTCAGTGCGTCAACCACATTAATATTCTGATACAGACAATGTGCCTCCTGGAACCACACCTGTCTGAAACGCATACGACCTACCGAAGTTTGATCAACCAAGGAGTAACACCAGCTCTTACAAAATACGTACACTTCAGTTAACCTACGGAAGCCTATAAATTCAGGACACTGGCGACACTGTAAGTTAAGGGAATTACGATAAACTATACACAAATGGACTGTTTAATGCAGTGGTACAACGTCAGATGAACAAAAAGTTGAGTGTACATGCAGAAAAGAATTGAGTCAAACTCTGTTATAACACGGTAGATCACCATTTCGAAATATTGTAAAAGCCATAAAACTGTGAAAAACTTAACATGAAAATTAAACTTACCTGAGTTAAAGGGAAGAAGCGAGATCGGTATGACCGGTCAAAAAAATCACCTGCTGAGTGAGATGTCATGTAACCATGTTGATGCGATGTACCAATTCCAAGACTTCGTTCGACTGCAGAAAGAGGGAGGCATATACTTTCCGGTTCAATATCAGGCTCCACAAGTGTCTGTACCAGAAATTGTTCAGAAAGAGCAGGATATTCTTTAATTTCAAAATGACTCAAGAATTGGTAATAGATCCTCCGCAAACCCACACTTGCATTCGCACATTGCAAGGGTAAGTTGAGCTCTCTTGCCACATCCAACCACAATCCACGATCACATACTGTTTTGTAACCTCCCCGGGATATCACAGCCACAAACAAGTCACAGAGCTTTATTGGCTTGCCTAAAAGTCTTGGCAATCTACGGTGGTAATGTCTAGGGGAATACTTAGAATAACCAAAAACAATACCTCTGAATCCGCTTAAGGAGACGCTTGTTGTTTGAAACTTCGCGTCTTAAAGTTCTGCTGGTTTGTGATATGAAGCTCGGGCAACTGGTGGAACGTCTGCTTTTATTCATCTTACTCGTAAAGAAGAAGGAGTGAACCAAGTACCAAAGCCGTAGAACAAAGGAATGACAGGGCAGGAGCTAATTCCAAAAACCATGGAACCTGGATATTGTGATGCCATAAATCCTTACAAATAAAATATAGTCCGAGACTTACTCATAAAAAAAATTAAGAACTTAATTCATGACCGGTTAAGAAAAAACCCGGGTCAAATAATCGACTTGATTGACTTTTTCATACATTAAAACAAACGAAAAATGTGATGTAGTTCCTAAATATCTTAGTTTCAATCACTACGTTCATCCGTTTACTACCGTTTATTGGGGTGCAAGTGACAAAATTATGTGCAAAGAGGATGAACCTGAAGTTTGAAATAGAAATTGAATGATTCTATGTTCAACTTTTACTTAATGGATTTATATTTATTTTCCTCGCAACACCTTCCTCATATACTATTTAGTAAGTCAAATATAATGCCACATAGAAGTAGTGCATGCTACGATTGTGCTCTTATCCCGTTATACATATAGCGGCCTAGATGTGAAAAATACGTATTAAATGGGGTGAGGATAAACTTTATCGTGATATATTATCGCGCACAGTATGGGTTATCGCGTTCACGCCTATAGAGGCGTTATAAGCGTTTATTTTTGTGATAATAGATTGTGTATGACTGGTTTCAGGCTTCTATAGCCGAAAAAAGCAATATTTTCCAGTATTGTGTTCGTATTAATGGGTAAAACTGTCATGATATCCTAGAGGATGTATTACTTCAAAGAAGTCAACGTATATAAGAAATTTAGCATAGAAAGAATATTGTTTGCGTTTTAGAGCCGTAAAGGTTTGTTATTTGCTAGTTTTTTGACGATACTAAGGTTGTAAATTAACTATAGGCAATGGTTGTTTTCCTAGCAGTTATTCTATGATAATCAGACATTTGATGGGGAAATAACCCACAGACACAAGTTAGATGTACGTTTTGCGTAAGCGAAATCTTGCCAATATTGCTACAGCTCAACCTATTAAATTATTCGTCTCGTGTAGACTTCATTTTACACTATACGTTGACACCCGTAGTCATATGGATTGACATCACGCTTTAAGTGAAATAATAATAATGCACTACTTTTGAATACACTTAACCTCATACGAAATCGAACTCAACTGCAGCGCCTAGGTTCTATTCTTATTTTTCGAATGCTGAAGTTAGGTTTTTTTTCATTGGTCCTTACAGATATACCTATGACTAGTAGACGTACTCGCGTAACTTTAGGCAGATTTTTAGACTTGACTAAAGTACTTATAATTCACCACTTATATCTATGTATAGTGTTTCTACAGAATTGCACTTACGTATAGCAACGAATTCATATCCTAGGGAGCACCGGTCTAGCATGCCGTACTCCCAACGCGAACGCACGAATAGAAAGACAACAATGTTAACAGGAAAAGTTTATTTTTGTTGTAATACGAAAGTAGTTTATTTACACACTAAGAAAACGGTTCCTTTGTGCGATTACTTCTCCCGCGTAATCTGCAGCAACGACCTCCCCAAATTTGTCACAAATTCTCATCAGGCCCGCATTCATAAGCCTCCTATTGGTTACGTATAACTTATATTGATTTCGCGGCACAACTGCTGACTTACCTTGAGATGTGCATGAGTCGCGAGACCATGTCCATCGTTGGCACTTGTGCAGCACATGATGAACTACAAAAGGTGGAAAAGTAAACGTAAAGATAATTATGCATACAATATTACAGGATAAATAATGGCAGTGCTTATGTCCTGCTTTCAGTTATGACAAACGCTTATGAAAAATATAAATTTCAGTATCTACGATTTTCAGTCACTTAAGACTAGGTAAATATGCATTACCAATGGAGACATAAAATAGGGAATACTTCAGGTGGCAACATAGTAATTCCTACGTGTAAATAAACGTACAAGTTTCAAAAATAGGCTAATTTACCTGTGAAACACGCCTTTCTGATATGCACCAACGGTAAATGTCGGCAGGGATACCGGCAAGTCAGGAACGTCATACAAGTGCATGTGCATGCACGCAGATCCACCTCTACTTGCCTCCCATTGTCTTCCAAGAAGATATAATCAAAAGCCTCAAACTCAACAGAAGTCCATCATCGCTTTTCATAATCAGCGATCACTTTCCCCGCGGCGTATGCCGTCAGTAGGCGTACGATTGGTATCAGACGTTTGGAACATGAACACCTGAAGCGACGCGACCGAGCAATCATCGACTCCTGCTGTATTCTAGAATAACTTAGCTGATACCATTTGTAAACCTTCAGCATGCTTTTATGCAGACTATCTGATCTAAGCAAGTACCGCTCCATTTGCTTGTGTGAAGTTTCTACTCGATTGTTGGTAGCATTACCCAAAGTCGGCACATGCTCCCTGAAAGCCGCTGCCCACATGTGTCGTCGACTCATCCAACGGCGTTGTATATACTGACTAACACTAACATCCAATCTGCTTATAACTCTGAAATAGAAGTTAAATCTGAAAAATGAGAATATTAAAGGCATTACTCTGATCTCCTTTCCCACTGAACTAAGCGACATAAGTAGTTCTTCACAATGGGATTCCGCGTCTACAATTGAAATTTTAATTATGCTTTGAAAAAATTTACTTCATGACAAATGCACGACAAACATGAAAAGAACAAAGAACAATGTGCGCTTCTCTGTATGTTAACTTCAAAGCTGCTAGATCAGATTGCGCACAATCCATAGTGAATGTCTCTGTTCCAGAGGTATCTTCTATTATTCGACGAAACGAGTCCAAAATCCAAACAACATCACGTTTGAATTCCTTTCGAGTCCAAGCAAATAGAACCGGTCTCCCAAGACCAAAATTATCCGTCACAAGTGATTGAAACAAAGAATACCTGCATGTTGATTACTGAATTAGTAAACTTACTTCCCTTTATTTGTATTATATGTATAGTCGATACCAACAACCTACGGGAACTGTTTATACAAATCTATTTGCTCATAAGTCGAAAAACAAACTCTCATTAGTGAATTCCTCATCACTTCATCTGAATAATACTCCGTTACCTTCCCACGGGATTTCAGGAATTGAAAAATGTCATTACGGCTTGACATACCTGAATTAATTTACAATTACATCAACGTTACCTTTATTAACTGAAGCTTTCAGATTTTTAACGTCAGTAAGAGTTATGTCCTTGTGGAATGTTTCCTTAACATGCATCATTATTTCATCTGATGAGTGTGATTGGTGAAGAAGTGGTTCCACGTTTTCCTCCTCTTCCGCTGTTAGTCGTCCACACCATGAATCATTCTGCACATACACCCTGCTGCATGGATGGTTATGGACCATTTTAAGGGATGTTATTACGTATTCACTGCAATGCAAAATTAAGCGAAATGCAGACGGATAGTTGCAACATTTAGACCTTAAACATACATAACATCGTATTACACTTGTTCCACAATTTCAGGCCAACTTTTCCACGGTTCATGCCAAAAGTGCATTTAAAATCAACATAAGCGTACTTAAATCTGTCGTCCGCTGTTGTTTTGCTTTGAATATGCACACAGTGAGTACAGGACAACTACACTGTTAGCATTAAATGACTTCCTCACTTTTTGAAATTCTCCTAATGAATTCTCAAATTCCTCCCAGCCAGAGAAACGCCTTCCCAGCATTACTTCACCGAAAATTCCACTGACGTCTGCAGTGCTTTCACTCGCATTGCCTACCTGCAATAAACTAAAAAGGCTTTGTCAATTAGTATCCATCTGTGCCTCAACTGTGTAAATATAATTCCGTAGAAAAAGCAATATTGAAATACATCACTGAGCAATATATATCAATAAAAGGCTGCACGTATAACCTAAAATCGAGAAAAGCTCAAGAACTCACGGGTCCCTTGACATCGCCAGCAACCGATAGGCCAACAAACCGAGTGTATGATAAAACAAGCCTTGTACATGCACAGAATAAGTAAAAGAAAACGTTTGAATACTCAAACTTTGTATTTATATTCATCAAATCTGCTTGCAAACATAGCATGACGCAACCACACAAACCTGCATACGATATCACCTACCTAGGACAAATTAAACATCAAACCAGCCGCCACTGTTCTAGCCAATCAAAGCCGAGAAAACCCTTAAGCGCGGAAGATTTAAAACGCGATAATGTATATCTTCACCTATTAAATGGTGGTTGTACCACAACTATCTTTAGTAATTAAATGAAAATGCATCCGGATAGTTAAGAAATGAACGTCATTTGCTGATTCTAAACGTTCAAATTTAATCTGAAACTACTGTTTTTCTTGAATCAGAGACATGCCGACAATCCGAGCTTGCTTAGTATATGATTAGAAATTTAACCTACTGACAGCATTCAGCAGAGGAGGAATAATAAGAAGGAGGAGAAACTAGAAGGGGAAAACGGCAACGACTGGAGGTTAGCAGTCTTCAAAATCGTTGATGCATAAAGATATCATATGGTAGAGGAAACGACTGGGTGCCTTTGCAGCAACATCAGGGTCATAAGGAGTAACATAACTGAGCTCATCTACCCATCCTCACATGTCGCACTAGCAGTTAACGTTTTGTCGGAGATTTCTCGATCACCCAGCGCTGAAAATCCCGAAACGGGGATCCGTGGGAGGATTCTCCACTGAAAGGGCTGGGAAGGGAAGAATATGACAGAGCAGCAACATAAACAACTATCCAGACCTGACCAGATTTGGCCACTAATGCAACGCTAACTGAACCCATGGAAACACTGTAGTACTAAATGAATAAGCAGCACTAGGTTCCTGCAGAGTATATCACATTTCATACGGATACAGAAGGAAATACAAGTAACATGTACTTGGAGTGACACGCATGGTCCCGACTTTGTTATTCGACTAAGTCACTACTGCCAGTCATTCTAATGATCCACCTCCGAACATACGGAAAGAGACGAAAACAGGACTCCTTGGTAGCGACCTGCTACATGTCAGTAGCGCTGCTGGTCTCTACAAAGCCATTAGGGTTGGCATATGACAAACAATCTATTTTACTGAGTGACCATTTGCTTATAAGTAGTGTACATCTCCAATCATCAATAAGCTGGGGCAATCATAAAATAATGATGCTCAACCTAGTGATCAAAGAACAGCTGAACAAGTATACCCATCCTAAATGACGCTAAGCAAAGCCAACTTTTTACAAACTA